GAATGTGTTAAAAATATATGGCAGTTTACAAATGGTTTAAATGATTGGATATTTCAGATTTAAATGAAATAAATTGATTCAGATTTCAGACTTCAGCACCACTTGTCAGTTTACAAAAACAAACAGTCTTATTGATTCAGATTTCAGATTCAGATTTCAGATGGAAAAACAAACAGTCTGACTGATTCAGATTTCAGATTTCAGACGTAAAACAAACAGTCTGACTGATTCAGATTTCAGACTTCAGCACCACCTCTTAAAATTTAGAAGTGAATTCAGACTTCAGACTTCAGCACCTCTTAAAAAACAAACGCCACCTTAATCTCACTCCCACCCAATTCATTGTGTTCCGCACATGAATTGATCTAGTGCATCTCATTATTATTGATATTCAATTAAAATTGATCAAAGGGTGAACGTTCTTTCTTACCTTTTCATCATAGTTTCCATTCTCACTCGAATCCAAACCCTTCATAAATAATTGAATTAGTATCAAGTAAAAACGCGATTCAATGAAAACCAATATCCATAAAAAAACAACAATTAGCGTGGGTCTTTGGGGATTTTTCTTAGAAGTCACCAGTTCAAGTCTTACAAGGTCACTAGAGATTTTCTTGACTGTTCTCTAGGGTTGCTTGAGTTAACCAAGGTGCGTACAAACTGGTCCAGATATCCACAATTAAGAAAAAAAATCCGTAAAAAAACATTTTTTCATGCCACATTACACATCAAGAAAAAACATATCTAACAAATATATATTATCTAGAATAAAGTAAAAACCAATATCTAACAWTAAAATAGATTAGCATAGTATGTTATTCAATTTATTTGTATAAAAATAAAATATTAATATAATGTGTTATTTGGTCTAAACGAAATAGTAAAAATTTAATCGAAAATAAAACTATCCTTATTCGATTAACCAACCTATTTAACTCGAAAACATAATGACTTAAAACCATTTAACCAACCTATTTAACTCGAAAACAAAACGACTTAAATCTCAAGTGGGTTATTCAGATTACACCCTAAATCAGATTACGTTGATTTCTAGTAATCTAAACCGAATCACTAGGGATGGTGATTTGCGCCAATCCGGTGGGGAACCCGGTTCACCCGACCCGAATGGGACGGGATTCCCCGCTAAAACAGGACGAGGGGACGGGGATCTCCAGTAGACTCAAACCGGGGATGGGGCCGGGGATCCCTAGTAGAATCAAATTAAAGGATATTATTTATGGGGTTTGACCGGGAATTCGGGGATTGATAGATGTTTGACCGGGGACGATATGTTAATCTCTGTACCCGTAAAAGACCGGGACCAGAGATGTTCCTTTAAACCGGGGCCAGGGTCGGGACTATAAAACCCGCCTTATTCCCGTCCCGTTGCTATGCCTACGAATCACTAACCTTATCTCCTATCCTTCACCTCTCAAACTCCGTTTTTCCAAATATTTTTTCTAAAATCCGATTCTTATTTTATTTATTTATTGATATTTGCAAKTTGCAATTACATACGTAAAACGTAACAAGGTGTTTTGGGGGAGTTCGATACACAGAATTCCAAAATAAATGTTTGGGGGTCGGAGACCTTTCTTCTAAATTTCCCCCAAACCAAACGTGTTTCTCTACAGCGCCAAGACGATTCCTTTCTCTCTCCAAAGTGCTTTTCCGCTTGCCTCTTGATATAATCACAAATTCTTGCTCTCCAACGACGCCTCCAACTTTCGATTTTGCTTACTGATTCCTTCCTCTTCAGGTATGATGAGCTTTGGGTCTTTTTGCTTTCACGAAATTGTTGAGGTCTTTTTGTGTCGGTGGGTGGGTGGGTGTTTGCGTATTTTGTAATTTGCAACGGCATTGACCTGGTAATGTAGTCTTTCTGCTAGGTTTTTTTGGTTTTAATTGGGGGAGTTTATCGCTCTRATTTCTAGGGTTTTTGCTTTCCTTTTTTTTTTCTTTCTAAGTCGTCTTCCTTCTTTTGATGGTTATTGTGATTTTTAATGTTTGTTTGGTGTATTTATGTCTGCGGTAACTAGCGTTTTATTATTCAGGGGACATTTTAATGGAATGAGTTGGTATGCAGCCTATTTGGTTGATGATTGCCACTTTCTTTCTCATACTAAATAGTAAATACTTTGCACATTTGCACCTACCCCCAAAATTTACAGACAAGCATACATGAATTGTGAAACCCATGACGGGTCTACTTGTTGAGCAGTTGACTAAATTTTGGAAGTAAATATTATATATAATAGTCTGTTTGTATGTTTATATGCATATGCCTATTAATTGCAAACATTGATTCATCAATATCAGTATGTWCCATATGTATGTGCATGGATTTGTGCGTTTATTTTCCATATACCTGTTTCTTTTAATGTTTTTGTCTGTGTTCTCTCGTGAGCTAAGTAATTTTTTTTTACATACTTACATCTCTAGCTTATTTGGCAACATATTTAGTTACAGTTGTAGCTCAAGTACATGGCAACATATGATGTAAGAGGATGGCTCTTTGTACCTTAACCAACCAATGGTGGTTTGCTATTTCTTCTTGTTAGAAATGACTTACTAGGGGTTAAATATGAATTGCAAGATTTTGATWGTAGAAGCAGAAGACACTACATGTGAATGACATGAAAGAGTTCATACTGATTCAAATGAGCGACTTATGCACTAACCACACAGCTTGCCTCCTTAGTAGACTCAATTTTTKGCAAGTCTCAAACAATGTTTTCATCTTTTGCTGTTGCTATCTAGGATGCCCTGTTAGTCATGAAAAACTAGTGTCTAACTAAAAGAAACTTGAAACTACCTTTCATTGGTTGACCAATTAAGAGCCATTATTTGCATCATGACAAAGGATTCTGTGCTAATTTGTCATCATAGTTAAATAWATTGATTCAATAAGGTAAGAGGTATAAACATGTGAAGGGTTTGTTTGATACATTTGTGTATGCATTAAMCTATATATCAATTTTGGGAGGGTTTTCAATTGAACTTATTGCCATGCAACATCACATGATTGCTCTTTATCTCTCATAATAGAAATATGCAAACATTCATCTGTTTATGTTCTATGAGTTTACATAACAATCATATGCATTAGTTATAATAAAACAAACATGAAGCCTATAATTGAATATATCTGATGCATGTTCATATCTGTACATATGTGTGTGTGTATATAAATGTGTATTTGCATCTATTTGTTTGCTTCTAGAGTTAGGTTTTATTGCCCTCTTTTTATTTTTGTGTTGAGCARATAAGCTCAATAGTTGGATTTCTGTGCCTCTAGGCTTATTGAGGCAATTTCTTTAACCATGATTGTAGAGTAGTATATGATGTATGTCATGCAGGCTAATGGCTCTTCGTGCTTTAACCAATCAAAGGGATGTTCAAATTTGTTGATAGGATCGAGTAGTATCTGGCTAAATGGATTCTTAAATGTTGCTAGACATGGAGAGAAGCAGACATGTGTGTGTATTTACAGACCATATGTACTTATATTCATGCATCAATATTCTTAATTACATTGTCATGTTTACCAACTTATCCAGCACACACTACTAAGTGTATGTCTCAAGCTTTCAAGTTTTGGATCGAACTAATCCATTGACACAAATAGTTCATGTTTTTCATGTTTTGTGTCTACTTTAAAACAAATAATGCATCATGCTTTTTGTTTATCATAGTTTAAATTCATAATAGCAATGGATGTCTGTATTTCTATGTATCAGMGAGGAGTGATGAAGTAGTGCTGCATGCCAAATATTCCTATTGGAGTATGCATGTTGGTATAAACTGAAATATATCAAACAAGGTCATGAAGATGTATACTTACCTTTTAGCTTGTCAAGTAATATATATAATAATGTTTGCAGGTAAGTAATGGTGGTTGTGAAGCAAGCTGATGATTCTTAGTGCTTGAACCAATTCAAGGTATTTTAGCATTTCTTCATACACAAATTGTTGATGGCCAATAAGGATCCCGAGATATTGCTAGAAGAAGATGCACAAGACACTCCATGTGACTTCAAAGAACTTGTGTCTGATTTTGAGTCGAATTGTTTAGCTGATACATTATCAGTTTACTTGGAATCATGTGAGCCCTTTTCAGTCACTGACCCTGAGCCTTCTAACAATCTGGATGAACCCAATATCTCCARGACAGATGTCCTTGTTGACCCTTTGAACTCTATTGTCTTAACTGAGTTGTCTGAGCTGAGAGATAATGATGGAGAAGATAGTAGTAGGATTCATCATGCCTGTGGGAAAAAAAATAACGAGGTTAAACGTTCATCAACTCGGAGAAGTACCCGCAAGAGTACATTAAACCAGAAAACCGATACCAAACTGGCTGCAAGAAAAGGCAGTAGAACTTCTGGAAAGAGGCCAATGTTAGATCTACTTGCTGCAGATGTCGGAAGACGACGAAGAAGTGATTTGGTTCAACGAGCTCGTCCTTCAGCTTGGGGACTAGGAGGAAAAATTGATGAAATCTTTAAGCAGTATGTAGAAAAGAATGTCGATGTAAATGGCCATATAGATTCAAGAAAAGGAAGGATGGGCCGTAGAGGTGGAAAGAGGAATACTGATTTCGTAAATCAAAGCATTCAAAATTCACAGAGTGAATCTCGAGCTTTGAACAAGGGCCTTCTTCTGAAGTTCAAATTGGGGACAAAAGTTATTCAAAATTGCCAATTCAATACGATACCTGATATGGATAAAGATCTTGAAAGTTACAGGGAGGTGAAGATAGACACCTCCACCTTACAATGTGATATAAAGGAAAATTATGAAAAGGAGGTGCCTCATGCTTCATTGTCTAGGGCTTCTGATGGGAATCTGGATAAAAGGGTGGCTGGCAAAGCTGTCAGTGARCTTCATGACATGATAGGAATAGGAGAATCGGTTGAAAATAGGTGCTTAGATCCCGGTACTTCACCTGATTCAGAAGTTATTAATGTGATYCCAGAGACCCAGATCAGTGGAACTACTGTAGAAGTATTACATGACCTTCGGATATCCTCAAAAGATTGTACTGCTCATCAATCAGGGGACKGTGGTGATGGAAGTGGAATACCTAGTCCAGAAATAGTAAGTGATGTTATATTATGTGATAAGTTTGAGCATGGTGAGAAACAGATTGAAGGATCATGGTCTAGTGGGCAATCTATGTCAATTACCACCGGAGTTGCTTCTAGCAATGCCTCTAGTAGGGACGGATGTCCAGTTGAACCAGTGGCTTCATTGCAGGAGACAGAAGTTGGMGTTTCCATGGATATGTTGACAATTGAAAGTGGCTTGAAAGCTGATTTTAGCATTGCTGGGATTGAGTCGGTGGAGTCCTGTTTCTCAGACAAGCTTCTTTCAGGTGCAAAAACCAATGGTCAAAATCTTCAGAGAAGTTTGAAATCAAGAGGAATAACCAAGAGCATGCCAAGAGTTCCTGATTCACTGAATAAGAAAAGAAYCAATTGCCGGCAGAAAGGATCACAGGCTAAGTCACCTGCTAAGGGAAAACTCATGGAGAAGAGTGGTAATGACCAGGCGGACYGTGATACGGAAAGTGATCCAATAACAGGTTTTTTTCTTTAACTTTAGCTGTTCATGATTTCTTCTTATGTGAACATCTTTTTTGAGTTTTAATTGATATATGCTTTATGTTACACCCAAATCACTGCTATCTACTTTGTAAGCTTATGGCAGTACTGGTTCATCGGATTCTGTAATTGTTCGTTTTTAGTCATTAAATATGGTTCTAAGGCTCAATTATATGTTGTAGGAAGTCATGAAATCAGTGTTGTTAGAGTACTTGAAGAGGGTTGTAGAAGTAGTGCTGGAGCTTTATCCAACTCTACTATGGTGCCTAGTGAGGGGGAGAACCGGCAGGGATCACCACGAAGTGCCTGGGTGTGTTGTGATGATTGTCATAAATGGAGACGTATATCTGCTATACTTGCAGATTCTATTGAGTCAACAGAATGCAGATGGTATGATTTATCTTCAAACTCTGATGTAGCAATTAATTGTATCTATGATCTGCTGATATGATCTAAGGGGGTGTTTGGTTAGAGGTATCAAGCAGTAATTAATGAGATTGATAATAAAAGAAACTGTTTGGTTTTGTACAATATAATGGGCCCCATTCCCCCAGAAGCCTAAATTTTCATTCCTATTTTCATTACCTGTCATTTTCATTCCTCTGCCTGAACCAAACAKCCCCTAAGTGGTCTCTGATTAGAATGCTTTACCTGCAACTTTGATGCTTATCCATATGTTCAGTTAGTGGACCTTTCATACTTCACTATATGTGCTTGTATCTTACCGCTTGAGCTTTACTGTTTTGATCAAACCAGTTACAGGAGTAATTTATCTCTTTWTTGTTTGTTAATAATCTCTTTAGGAAACTTATGCATGAGAAATAAGCAGCGGCTTGATTTAGATGTGTAGGTAAAATTGCCGAGGTAAACCAAAAAATACTTGGTAGGTGCAAGGCAATTATCAAGGTTGACCGTTTGCTCAAATTCTGTTTCACAGATGCAACCAACTGACATGGATGGAAGTTTGGTTTATAATTTGGAAGATTAAGAATCCTTGTAGCTACACTAGAAAAGATACAAATAAAAACAAATGCGAATATTACTTAACTTTGTATTTAGTCAATGATTGAACATTCGCATCAACCCCCAACTCATGTCGGCTCATTGTAAAGTTAGTTGTTTTTTTGGAAAGAGGGTGGCACCTTTGGCAAGTTTATTGAAACAAATAAAAGAACACCTTTTTGACGTGGACACATGCTAATTAGTAATTACCAGTCACAAGCATGTCCAATCGACAGTTGGGACAGGCCCTGATGTTGATTTGCAGTGCACTGATGAAACCAAAGGTAACCATAACTGGTTGGAACACCCTCCATGCCAAGTAACTAATAACCAAACTAAAGCTAAACTAACAACAAAATCATCATTGATSAACAAAGATCTAGAAGCCTAATGCTTGCCATCACGACCTTATGAAGCATGTCTGCATCCTTACTTTTGATCATCAGGCAATTTGCACGAACAATGTTCCTAATGGAGTTCACCAGTTCTTCTCCATTATGGCTCACCTTGCTGAACATCCTTTGATTCGGCTTCTGCCTGACATGCTACACCGCTGCCCCCAAGTGATAACCGTTGGATCAGAGCGATTGCTGTGCTGTTGGCCGTCATATTTTGCATTAGCTCAATAATTACATCCCTGGAATTAACCACATCTTTTAGTCTAACTGCCCTCTTTATAGCTTACCATACTTGGAACGAGAACATGCATTCAAAAAACAGTTGGTTGTGGCTATCAGGCACTGTTTGTCGTAGGGAGCATACCATATTARGTGGTTAATGCTTCCAGGCTATCATCCGGTCTTGGGTCTGGAACTGTTTACTCACTGCCAACCACATCATGAAAGCATGCTTCGGTATTTTGCTACGGAACCTCCTTGACTTGTTTCCTTATCGTCCTCCATACATTGTTKATTGTGAATGCAGTGAAGTTAGTTGTTTAGCCTTATGTGCTCATTTGGTTCTTGAACTTGCTCTACTTTAATTGACCTCTTGTGTAAAATGGAGTTTGCTTGTGAGAAGTCTTCAGGATTCAATCTAAAGTACTACCTACAAGTGCAGGTGCATTTTATGTGTTGGGTTTATCATATAAAAGAAATCCGAATTTTTTTCATGGGGAAGTTGTGCACATATCTACCTCACAAAGAATGTTTAAAATGGATGAGTTGGGTCTATCTTATTTCATTTATATGTTTCAGTAAGACATTATTAATAGTTTTTGGTTGCTATATTATGCAGGATTTGTAAGGACAACATGGATAAAACCTTCGCGGATTGTTCAATTCCRCAAGAGAAGTCAAATGCTGATATTAATGAGGAGTTGGAATTATCTGATGCATCTTGTGAGGAAGATGCTTGTAATGCTCGRCTGAATTCCAGTCAGTTGGGACAAAAGCAGCCCATAGGTACTCACTCATTTGTCCCAGTGACATAATATCAAACATCTTTGTGTGCTTGAACTGTCAATTCATTAATCATGCCATTTTTAAGCAGCCAAGTGTCTAAATGTTGTTGCAGATCCTCCACARTCCTCTTGGAAGCTTATAAAGACAAACATGTTTCTGCATCGCAATCGTAAAAATCAGACCATTGATGAGGTTATATTACTTGTTTTTTGTAAGAGAGTTAGGATTCATTATTTTAATTAATGGAATTCCATGTTGAGGGCCAGAGCTTCATGTGAGCCTTACTGCTTTTCTAGGGTGCTATTTTGCTTTGCGATTCTGATTGCTCCATCTGGTTCAGGCATTCACTTGTTGCTTTTATTGAATCTRATGACATGTGAACTTATGTTTACATTGTAACATGGATATGCCATCAGAGATCTTGGGAATTCAGCCTGTTTTAAAAGAAGTACTTGATATGAGGACCAAATTATTTTGGCATTGGGTCACTAATGTCAGATAGACCATAGATGGACAACAAATGGTGAAAACATAGTTTGAACAGTTATTACTTGAACAAACATATTGAAGTGGGGCAACTTTGATTCTAGCATATGTGCATTGGCATTACTTAGCCTATTTTTTGAGTTTGTTCATTTCACTGTTAACTGGCTGTCAAGTAGTGACCACAATCYTGTAATCGGATGAACTAGACCTAAATAATTACTCAAAAGTACATAAAATTCTAGTCATTTCCTGGTTCTCAGGAGTTCCTTTTTTATTTCACTGGGGTGATTTGCTTTATTAATTAGCTGTCACAGTGAACTCCTGTTGTGACCATCCTCAGAATCATACTAAGATTTTCCTGTATCCACTAAGATAGGCGAGCCATTATCAGTTAAAGCATTTTACTATTATCTGATGCTATTAGTTCTGTTTTCTCGATTTTCTTTGATCCCTGATCTCATATGGAACTGCAGTTGTATCTGTTATAGCAGAAAGTATATGGGGCTAGTTTTTCATTAATACTTGCRTCAAATGGTTTTTTAATTGTAGAAGTGGCATTAAATTGCACATGTCGCATGGATCAACTGTATCTGATTGTCTTAGGGGGAAGGAATCCCCTATAATGGCTCTACTTGACATGCTCATACTCCAGGTGGTGGTACATATGCCCCCACTAGTTGCTGAGCAGGATTTGACATTTGCATATTAACTTTAAAACCATGTCGTATAAATGACAAATTATCGCTTATTCATGTCGTATAATTGACAATTTAWTGCTTATGGATTTTGATAGAATGTGGTTACTAATTTTGTATTTTCACTTATGTCTGTTAGATTATGGTTTGCCACTGCAAACCTCTTTTTGATGGCCGCATGGGCTGTCGGGATGAATGCCTTAATAGGATGCTGAACATAGAATGTGTAAAGGGAACGTGCCCCTGCGGGGARTTTTGTTCAAATCAACAGGTTAATTTATATTTTAATGCTTTTTTATTACCTCTGTTTGCTCGAAGAGGTCATGACACAAGCATTTCTATATGATTGCAGTTCCAGAAACGCAAGTATGCCAAACTGAAATGTTTTCCATGTGGAAAGAAAGGTTATGGGCTTCAGTTGCAAGAGGATATTCCCAAAGGAAGGTTTCTTATTGAATATGTGGGGGAGGTAACATGTCTACTTGCTTGAATTTGCAGTTTCTTATTGAATTTAAAGAAACAAGACCAACATTCTATTGGGTGGTCGGTGYCATTGGTCTTGTTGGGTTATTTACTGCTTAGTGCTTCTTCACAGATCATTGTAATGCATGTGAATGTGGTGGGAGATTGCTGTTATGAAGTAAAATTATATGTTATGTGGAACCGTATTGTTGCAAGATTCTAAATTAATCAAATATTCAAATTTGAGAATATTTTCAACTTATCATGAAAATTTTGTCAACTGTATTTTAGAGGCATTTTCCTTGTGGTATTGCTCATAATGCAAGAATGCAAGTATTAAATGTTTTAGATTTAATATGTTACCGAGGTCTCAATCTAGAAATGTGATCTGTGCTTACCTATCTCATTTTTTTCTTTCTTATTTATGATTTGTGCAGGTGCTTGATATGCCTGCATATGAGGCCCGGCAAAGAGAATATGCTTCAAAGGGTCATAAGCATTTTTATTTCATGACATTGAATGGCAGTGAGGTTTGTTGGTCTCTAATATTTTTATTTCATCATTATATAATTGATCAATCCAAATTTTCATCCAAATGGAGGAGAAGAGTAAAATAAGAAAGAAATTTTATGCAGTAGCTACTAATGTGAAAAGGCCTGTTGAGGTTGTGATTCTTCTTAGCTATACTTATCTTGATGCTTTGATCTTCTTGATGTTTAGAATGATCCTCTAATTAACTTGATCATATGAATTTGATGGTTGCTTAATGATGCATTATTCAAGTATATGACAAATTCTCAGGATATCTTATAATTCAGTTGTATCAAGGATTGATGAATTTTATTTATGTGTTGCCAATTTCGTGATCTTTCACAAGATCTACTACTTGTCTTCCTCTACTCTCACTGTTTGGCTTTGTGTCTTTCACTTAAAACCTGTTTGGAAATTTTGTTGTCTTCCAGATGAGTTACTTTTTATGTTTAAGACTTCTTGTGAGATATGGCATGTAATTGAAGACATATCTGTATAGGTGTAAGTGGATTCTTGTAATCATATCGTTGTCTTAGYCCTAGTAAATGGCCCCTTGCAAGTGTTGGACTATTAGGAAGAAAGCATGGTCTTGCTATCTTTGGCAAGACGGATGTATAGAAGGTTATTTGGAAGAAAAATAACTAAAGATTCTAGGAATCATTTTCTAGTCCTAGAATCTCTTAGCTTTATRCGTAAGATGGGTTGCACCTCACCAAACAACAAATATAACTGAAAACGCTTCTCTAAGTTGATTCATAAAGTAAATAGCCTGCTCTTTCAATACCCATGTGAATGAATTATCAAGTCATTCGTTCCCATTGTGGGACAAAATGAAGTAAATAAATCAAACAGTTCATTGAACTGGTCTTTACAAGTAGTTCAGAAGATTAACTTCCCACGAAAAACTTAATATATAGAAGATGGCGTGGCTGGGACTCGATGCAATCACTGGCTGTGTGGTGTGAAATCGATTTGTGCAATCGATTTGGAGCCTTGCCATGTTAAGGCATGCACCATGGAGCAAGGTGTGATTTGAAATAGATTTGGAGCCTTGCCATGTGTGGTGCTAGTCTGCAATATGGCATGTGGCGGTCATATGCCGCATGGGGTGGAGCATGAAATATAACATCACATCTCAAATCATCCTTGGCTTTCGATCCTGTGAGGGTTCACCTCAATACGTAAAGTCTGTAATGAAACAGAATATGATAAATAAAATGTAACGATGAAATACAATAACAATAAAAAACTGAAAATAGAACTAGTGGCAGTTGTGATTCCTGTCATATTATGTTTTGGTTTGTTGTGCACTTCCGTTCCTAATTTCTATCAAGTGTTTCAAGTTATTTAAATAAAGTTTCTTTTTGCTTTGTTCACATTGCTTGCTTTTTATTTCAGGTGATAGATGCTTGTGCTAAAGGAAATCTGGGACGGTTTATAAATCACAGCTGTGAACCAAATTGCCGCACCGAAAAGGTTAGTACACTTACCATCACACTGTTTTTATAGGAATAATATTCACATTGAAGATTAAGAAGCTTGTATGGAGAGACCTTTGTTGTTGCTTTAARACATAAAAGTAGAAGTATAGAACCTAAATGTAATAAATGGTAACGGGAAATAATTGGTGTCTTGGTCTCTCTTTGAAATGCTAGATGGTTTGAAATTCAGACTATTAAATTACCTTTATAAACCGGTCATGGTGTAATTTGATATTCTTTTATACCTTATGTATTGTCCTGGCATATGGTGAAGGTGCAGGAACCTTTTCCAAATATAAAACTAGTTTAGAGATGATGAAACACTTATTGCAATCACTCTTTTTGCCTGTGAAACCATGTTGTCTTTTGTCTAGTCTTATTCATAGAGGGATGAACGCTGATATTCTGGGGTTTATGGGATACCTTCTCTGTGTCTGGCACATTTATTTGTTTAACTGTCCTGTATCATAGCAACTGAAAAATCTGGAAGAACAGAAAGCTATGCATTAAAACAATTGTTCATARAAGTACTATCAAGATGTTGATACACACGTGGATTTTACTTATGTACTTTCTTGGTCTGTCCTTTCCTTCAAGATTATACTCTAAAGATATATTATCTGGTTTAGTTTTATTCAATTACACATGCTATCTTCTTGGTTTTGTAGCTCATTGCACCCCAAACGGTATAGTTTATGCAGCATGCTTTAGAGTTTCACTACACTTAAGTACACASTCTACCAATTTCTCTTTATCCTTCTCCTTGAACAATCTTGTTCCATTGGAAGTGACAGTAAAAATAAAGATTTTCCTTTTTCACCAAATTAAAAACARGTGAATCACCTTGTGGAGTTAGTCTGTCTATGTTTTCCCCCTTTCAGTAAGCATGTTCATACATTCAAAACTGAAACTGAAAAATTGGTGTTTATTGCATGTTATAGGTAATGCATGGTTTATGCTTGGTGAATGATATATTTTTGTGGTAGAATCACTATACTACTGCTTTTGGCTTCAGAAATAGAAGTATCTTTAACTTTTCTCCATARTCTAAAAGGTGGAATTGGGCCTCAAGGTGTTTTCCCTTGATGAAGCGACGCTTAAGCTTCAAAGGCGGGCCTGAGGCAGAGATATTTACATGTATATATACTATACAAATATATACCTTATTAAAAAATATATATACCAATCATTATTCCACTGCCACATTATAATCATAAAACATATGATATATATATATATATATATATATGTTTACACACACATACTAGACTGGAGTATTCGACACAAAATATACATATCATGCTAAATTACTAAAAGAAATTATCTATATACACTTTTCCTAATTCGAAATATAGATATAGTAACTTTGAAAAAATATATTGATCTATTAATATATATATATATATATATGTGTGTGTGTGTGTATTAAATATTAATATGCTCAGTTCATGAGTCATGAAGAATTTTTATTAATATATCAACAAAGTGGGAGTGGAAAGTGGGATTGTAAGTTGTAACAGTGACACGTGGAAGGCTTGAAGGGACTTTTAGAAAAAATACAAAGATTCAGCTKATAWKATGAGACGTGYCAAAACGAAATAATATTARAAAGAAGAATCAGGCATCCAGCTGTTGAAGTGGAGGCATAAGCCTCAGCGATGCTCACAGCCTCATGCACCGCCTTGACTATACAAGGCGTACGATTCAAACATAGATTGAAAGGCGGCGTGTCAGAAGCGGTTTTATGCCACCTCGCTTCAAGGCGSCTGCCTCAAGAGATTTTGAGAACCATGCTTTTCTCTCATTCAATTAGTCGGTTAATGTCAAATTTGTTGTTTGTTGCATATAAAATATATKGTTTGTGTTTGGTGAATGATATAGTTTTGTGGTAGAATCAATATACTACTACTTTTTGGCTTCAGAAATAGAAGTATCTTTAACTTTCTCCCTATCAATTAGTTGGTGAATGTCAAACTAGTTGCCTGTGGTTTATGAATTGTAATTGTTTCCTTCTTTTCCACATTCTACCTCTCTTAGATTGAACTGGATTGGTGTTCACTTTTGGCTGCATTTTTGTTTGTAGTATTTGTATACTGTGTGCATTTTATGGCTACTTATATGTGCTCAATGTCTATGGTATGCTCTTATTGCTGAATACACGTTTTGGCTTTTGGCATTCTGCAGAGTAGTCACAGAAATTGACATGCCCATTGCACGATGTGCTTGAAATTATATACTTGAATGCAATCCTAGTTGTTCAGGCACGCCTAGGCTCATAAGGCTCAAGGTCTTCGGCTTTTTTAAAGTCGAGGCTCACTAAGGCCCTGCAGTTTGGCTGAGGCGCCTTGTGGGTCTAGGCACGCCTTAAGAGTTATTAGAAACCAAGTCAAATCCTAATATTAAATAAGTTTTCTCATCTTCTTATCTCCTAGACTTCTTAAAKAAAGTGTTATTGAATAAATGACGTAAGTCAAACCCTAATATTAAATACCCAATTCTTATAACCTTAAGCCTCTTTCTCTATAAATACCCAGACCTTAAAACTTCTCCCTCATGGCTCACGCTTTAAACCCTTCTCCCTTCTGCCTCTATCGAAGAACTGCTGGTGTGTATAGCTGTGTGTGTATATATACTTTTTTTATATGACGCGCATCACATTCCTGAGGGCCGTGCCTCACGCCTGCACCTAGKCCCCGGGACCCCTTTGCGCCTAAGTGCACCTTGAGCCTTCAACAACTTTGAATGCAATGTAATTTGACTAYTCAATTGTGAATAATCAACAAGCCCATTGGATGGTTTGAAGCTTCATTAAATTTGTCAACTTACTACTTTGYGTTCTTTCTTGCCAGTGGATGGTGAATGGGGAAGTTTGCATTGGACTCTTTGCAACAAGGGATATTAAGAAGGTACACATCTTTTATTTGTATTATTTTGGACTAAAACTAAAGGCCATAAAACTAAGGATTTTCATGGAAAATACTTATATATGGCAAGCATTACTTTGTTTTTTAAAATCCCACATGAACTGTTCTAATCTCAATTGGACTTCATTAACTGCAATATGGGTCTCCACTCTTTTCAGTGTACATGAGTACTTGGATGATATGTATATGTACCTTAATCATTGGTAACATGGAGAACCTTTTCCCTTTCTTTTATAAATTATGTAGACTTACAGATTGGATGTCATGTGGGAAATCATRACCGTTAAACTTGGCTGACTAAGATGAGTTATAACTCGTTTACGGAGCCAAGTTGGGTGTAAAATGAGCTATGCACATGTCCATCTTGTCGATGAAGAGGACACTTGCTCTAGTCATATGCTTGCTCATTCTGACTGTCTGCAATTTGGCTTAAATAAATCTTTGTCATGTATTATTTTTCAYCCATGATCTATTTAGCTCTTTATAATTTAGGTTCTGTTCCTGCAGGTTATGATATTGTWTAATTATTTTCCCTCTGACCTATAAGAATGCAAAAGAATGTGAAGTATATTTTTGCACTAGTGAATTTTTCTCATTTCGAAAAAGTAGCTTCTGGCATGTCTGTTACTGGCCATCACAGATGGTTTTTAGTTTGGTTGGAGTGCTTTAAATGTTTTTTCTTTGCTAATTGAGTGTGCCACCTAGAGAGGCTGAACTGCTTTTACTATCAGGGCTTGCCCACTACGAAATGATTATGGTGTTAAAGGTCATTCAAAATATGGCAGYGGCTGGTACATATGTCAGAGAAAGAACAAGTGGACTTCTTTTTTCTTATAAAAATATGGCTTCCAAAAGGAGCCATACTCTATTTTCTCTGATGTACTTGTTCTGGCTCACAATTGATGCAAAGTTTCCATTGATGGACAAACTCTGAAACTTAAATGACATGTGTTCTTTCATTGCCCACAGCACTCTGATCTACAACAATATGTCTTCATATCGAAGATTTGGTTAAAAACRAAGTACCAATTTTTTTGCAGTCTCKCTGAGGAGCWTTTAGTTATATTATACTTCAATTCTATGAGTTTTTATGAGACTATCTTGGGTGTAGATGAATCTTCCAAATGGTTAAACTTGTGAAGTTTTGGTGGACRTAAATTTAATGATGACTTGGTCAACATYGAGTAGATTCATGTCTCCGTCTTTGAGCTGTTTTGAAACTATTTTAGTTTTTGTGTTGGATTATAATTTGCACAAGATCTTAGAGTTATTCTTCTGTTCAAAATATTTATTGGAGAGCTCATCCTTGTGAGGTTTCTAAAGTCTCGTGGTGCTCTACATCTGTCTAATGAATTTTTTTTGTATACTATCTATTAGACGTTGACTGTCTACCTCTGAGTATATTTTGAGACTATCTCCCCACCATGTGGATTCAAAGGGGTACTATAATAAATTTTGTTCATTAGGTGTAAAACTTGCTAATTTTACTTGAAGATGAAYTATCCCATACCTATGATTCAACAGCATGGCATGTGAAAGATGATCTGCAGCACATGAAAGTATCCTGGGTGTGAGTGTATCTTCAAATGGTTATTATTTCAAYCGCGGAGGGATTATAGGCCGTACAATTCCAATTTGTGTAGCTGTATTTTCTTATTTTATTTTTTTACGTTACGCTTTTATTTCATTGTTCGATTTGATTATTTTTGGGCAGACTATCATTTTTTTCCTTTGCAAGATTTTCTTTTTAAAGATTAAAATCAGAATCTAGGGGGGYAATTGTGTAAGCAGTAGTTTCTCATGTATAGTTTTTTGAATTCATTTTTCTTTCGGTACACCATTATAGATTGTCACACTTGTCCTGATGGGTTTGAGACTACTTACATACGTTTGTGGATTCAAGGTGTACTTCAGGTTGAGTGCTTGCTCTGTCATCTTCTCTCCCATGGTTTTGCCTGTAAAATTTAAATGTATTTAATCAGATTAGATCTCTTTCCGACTTCAAGACCCTTCTAATAATTTATGTACATACAACTGTGGGTTATTCGAAGTTGTCACTTTGACACCATTCTTGTCATTAATTTTGTTAACTTACACTTTAACATTKTTATTCAGGGGGAAGAACTGACATTCGATTATAACTACGTAAGGGTTTTTGGGGCTGCTGCCAAAAAATGTGTTTGTGGCTCATCTAGGTGTAGGGGCGTCATTGGTGGTGACTCWCAAAATGCTGAAACAGTTATTTTGGGTGATTCTGATGAAGAAGATCTCGAACCTGTTACGTTCTATAAAAACAGCAGCAATAAGTTGGGTTTATCTGGGACAAGTATCTACAATGGTGCTGGAACACAGACTGCTGAAAGTACGTCCAAAAACAACGGTTGTGTAATAGACAAGTTTGCAGTTGCTTCTGGTCRCGTGGAGGATGTGGAGAATGAGCGAAGTCCTGATTCTTTGTTAGTCATTGATGACAAGAATGATGATCTTGCAATTCCTACTGAATCTACAGAAAGAGAAGTTCCCTTTGAAAGGTCTTCGTCTGCTGCCTCAGCATTGGAAAGTAAAATAGATAATACAGAGGAACCATTGCCATTTTGTGCTGAACCACTTAATACTTCGTTTAAAGTGCATGATGGGAAGAGGGAAACTAGATTTCTAGATGCACGTCATCACAATGTAGCGGAGAAAGATATGAAAGGATGCTTATCAATTGGTRGAAGAGCAAAGACTTCCCTAGACACTTCAGCGAAGTTGTTACCAAATGATGGTGATTCAAAAAAGAAACCTAAATCTCACACAAATGAAAATAAGTGTGCCATTTTAAAGCCACAAGCTCTCTCGAAATTACCATCATCAGCGGTGAAGAGAGGGAAAGCCAAAACCCATGGTGTTAACAAGCCACCGGAGATAGATAGCAAGCCACTGGTAATGCCTCATAAAACAAATAGGCTAGTGGAAGATAACTTAACTGGCCGCTTTGAAGCAGGTAACTAAGATACCACTTGTTATATATATATGTATATTTCCATTTTCTCTAATATTTCTGTGTTCTGTTGGTGGCATTTTAATCTTTTAGTACGTTGTAGAAACACAAAACAAGGTGATGAAATGTAATTTTATATAAGTTTTCTGCTTGATATCTTGCAGTTCAAGAGGCACTTAATACACTGCTAAATGCTGATGGGGGGATAAGCAAACGAAGAGTAAGTATCATTTTTGTATTTCATCATACTTTGTTAGTTCGGCCTAGCATTCCACTTGTTTACCTGACTATTAGTTTTATGGTATTTTGGGGCGAGCCTACAAATCATTGTTTTTTCTTTATTCTTTCTCTTTCTTAGCATTCGTATGGTGACGTTACTGATTTGTCTCCATCTAAAACTGATATAACTGTTAATGTGAATCTCCTATGTGTGAAAACRCTGGCAATGCAGTGCCTTGACTTAATCTACATGATCTTTTTGTTTCTTTTCTTAAACACTGAAATATTCATCACTCCTTCTCTGAAAGCTTGTGAGCTTTGGCCCACAGTGGTGAAGGGATCATGTTGTTTCTGTGACWAAGCCTAAGCAGGCCTCTTTTTCAYCGATTTTCTTTTTCCTCTAATCATATTTGTGTAAATGGTTTTAAGTAAATTGTGGAAGTTKCTTGATCTTTTTACTTTTGGACTCATCCCATCAAGTTAGCTGCATTTCATGCTAAATTTAATCAGGATTAATATTTTTTTGGTTCTTTTTCAAAATTACAAAACCAATTTTGGACTTCTAGTTTCACAATGGCAAATGATTTCTAGATTTATTTTCTTTACTCTTTTCAGCTGTCATGATGTTTTTTCATTTTTGGCTAATTTTTGGACTTGTATTTATTTTAGTCATCTGGTTTGCTTTTGATTGTTGGATGTATGTTTTGTCTATCAGGATGCTTCAAAGGGCTATCTGAAGCTTTTATGTCTAACTGCTCATAGCGGCAATGGGGAAGGAATTCAAAGGTTATTTTGGAAAAAAATTTATGCTATTTGTTTTACATATTTGGGGAAAAAAATACTGAAGCTACTAAGGGAGACTACTTTACTGAGTTGCCCATTYATCTTAATGAACTGTTTCAGCAATCGTGACCTTTCTATGATCATGGATGCGCTCCTGAAAACGAAATCTCGAACGGTTTTGCTTGACATAATTAACAAGAATGGTATTGTTTCTGTTGCTTCTTCTTAAATATACATGGTACGATTGTTAATTTTTTTTCTGTTGTTTGTTCTAATTGTTTTGTTTTCTTTTATCTTGACTTTACAGGGTTACAGATGTTACACAACTTGATGAAGCGTTATAGAAAGGAATTCAGTAAGATTCCGATACTGCGAAAGCTTCTTAAGGTAAACTTTAGAAACTGAAAAATTATACAGCCCGGGTTGTTGAATGACTAACGCTCTCATAAATCTGTTGGTTTCCACTTAGCAGGATAGGGTCATAGGGCAGTTGTAAGCTACTTAGGGATTGCATCTATTTCTTATTAACTTGGATCCCTTTGCATATCTATACTATATTAAACAT